TATTGTTGTTGGATTTTTTTTTTTTTTTGGTGCCGGGGATTGGACTCAGGACCCTGTGCTTTTGAGGCAGGCAGCGACACCACTGAGCTACATCCCTGGCCCCAGATCCTTTTAAAATAGCCCTCTGATACCACGCCATGTGGCCGTCCAGCCAGCAGTGGAGCCGCTGTGCCAGAGCCCAGAGCCCTGGCTCACCTCCGCCAGAGAGGTGAGAACTTCAAGGACTTTAAGAACTCGAGTTGCTGCTCTGCCTCAGATTCTGGGCGCAGTGTGAGGGCCACAGCCACATGAGCTGCATGAACTGTGGCGTCCGCACTCGCGTGCCCCAAAGTTTCCGATTGGTGTCCTGTAAGTGTGGGACCTTCCCAGCTGGGCTTCGAATGCCAAATGCACCGTGGTGTTTACTTGGGACAGGAGCGCTGACGTCCCTTGCACCTGAAGGGACGGTTCCGCAACACGGGGGGCCTGAAACCCTCGGGTGCACGTGTCCCACGTGAAGCAGCAGGATTTGCGCCCCATCCGTGTCCACCTCCCTTTTTGTGGTGCTGGAGCCCACACTTGAGGGCCCGCACCTGCCGGGCAGGACTGTGCTCCGAGCTGTGCCCGGCCGCCGAGCAGAGCCCCTCCAGGGTGATGCCCATTGCGGTGTCCACAGGCAGACGGCGGCTAACTGCGAGTGGAGGGCACCGATGAATGAGGCAGCGCCCTGTCAGGCAGGAAGAGTGCGGCTTTCAAACCTGTGGTCGAGGCGAGGATGCAGAATGCTCGGAAACTGGGGGGCTGGGGTCCCCAAGCCCACACCGGACAGGCAGTGGAAGAGGGGAGCCCTGACGTTCTTTAGGTTCTGTTGGGGCGAATCTGGGCCGTCAGCTTCGGGGCCCTGTTTAGTACACACCACACCCACACCCAGTCACACCCACACCCACACCACACGCACGGGACGGCAAAGCTGTTGCCAGAAGAGGGCTGGGCACTGCCTTGGGCTGCAGCCTCGGTGCCCACCACAGTGCCTGTGCAGCAGTGGGCAGCTGCTGCTGGGGGTTGTGGAGGGCGCTCATGCACAGACAGCCCCTTGCTCTGGACAGCCGCTCGCTCCGGAGCGCTCAGGAATGTGGGTGGCCTTCGAGGCCACACTCAGGGCCATCTGGCCCCATCCTTGTCCCCTGGGTCAGGAGCACGAGAGGAGCTGCTAGTGTGAGGAATCTCAAGACCCACTTTGGTGCGGGTCACAGAGTCAGCTCACACACAGGACCAGTGGGGTTCAAACTGTGGGGTGTGCCCTGGGGTGGTGAGCTCGAGGACACAGCGATCTCTCACTCGGGGTCCCAGGGGGCTCTGATCCATCGACCTGAGCTCTAGACATTCTCATTTTTAGTAAGCAGCTCAGGTACGAGCATGCTCCACCCTCTGGCTTGCTGGTCCTGTCCACAGAGGCCACAGTGGGGAGAGTCTCCCAAACCAGTGCCCAGACACTGCATTGAGGAACATGGACAAATAACCTGAGAGCCCCAGGTGGACAGTGGTTTGACATTACGGTACATAAATATGGTAGAATATTGCATGGCCAAGAAAAGTGACGCACGTACACACATGACATGGAAACATGGGAAATGCAGATTCATGATAGGTATAGTAATGTGGGCAGCTCATGGGAAACTAATGGTAGAAACAGATCTGTCTTTTATATTGTTTAGCTTCATTAGCTCACTTATTTTATAAAGATCTTCTCTAGTAGCTCAGGTTTAAAATGATCACATATTTTGCATTTTGTATTCATATCTGTAACAATAAGACAGGAGATGAAATTCCTACCTGTAGGAAGCCGGAGATGACAAAGACACCTGGCCGTGGAGCAGGAAACTCCAGGCAGCTGTGTCCCAGGTCTGTGGGTACCGTCAGTCCTCAGCACCCTGTGGGTGCACTGCCGGGGGCTTCACCCTCTGAGCACTTGCTCTTGTGTCTTTCAAATGACAGTGACACTAATGAAATGGCTGCGACTCGGCGATGGACTGTTGGCTGGAAACTGGTTTGCAGATGCTGATTACTTCCTGTCATGCTGCCAGTGGTGTGCGGGGCGTTTGCCACAGAGCGGACACGCTGGGCCTGGGATGGCCAGCCCCGTGACACATGCCTGGCACACGCCGTCCACCGGAGCTGTGTCCACGGCCCCCATGGGCCAGGCTCAAGGTGTGGACACGGCCACTGCCCACTGCCCACTCACCCTCCTCCTCCCTGGCCCCGTGTACGGGCCGTGTGCCCAGTCCTGGTGTGGATGGAGGACCTGGAGGCCGGGACACCAAGCGTGGCCTCTCCTTTCCTTTGGTGCTGGCACCAGCGCTCTGCCGGGCAGGCCAGCCCCTGGCGGGAGCGCCAGCACACTGCTGGAGAGTCGGGGCCGGGCACCCCCAGTGGGCACTGCCTGGGACGGGCGGGGGAGGGGAATCAACTGGAGGTGGCCGGGAGGCCAGGGGCCTGGTCAGCGTCTCGGTTGCTTCCACACTGTTTACCAACGCTTCCTGCTTCCAAGCCTCCAAGTATGGCACTGCGCGGATGCTGGGACGCATGGGAATATTTACTAAGTGCGGGAACGCACTCGGACGGATACTCGGAGCTAGGCCGTTCTCTGCATGGTCCCCAGCAGGGATTAGGACAGCAGGTCACCATCCAGACCCTTGGAGTCCACTGGAGCCCGGGTGTCCGAGCCCATGGCCTAGGGGAGGGCACGGCCTATGTGTAGAGACCGCAGGCCGCCGAAGGCTGGAGGGAGCTGCTGGCAAGCTCTGTGATTTTGTGCAGCTAAGCCAACCTCTCTGGACTTGGGCGCCCTGGTCTAGAAACGAAGTTCAGCTGTGCCCTGTGGCTGCGTGAGTCTGAGGTGTGGTAATGTGTCAGGCCCTCGTTACAGATTAGTACTCTGGCCCCTTGGATGATGGTGTTTTTGTTAAGTCTTAGGTTTCCACCAAATCTCATATCCTGCCCCAGAATGTTTCCCAGCATCCTGGTTGTGCAATGAAGTTGGATCCACACGTTCCCCTCTGTGTGCAAGGCAAACATCGCGATGTCGCTCCTGAGGATTTGCCTGATGTCCACTTTTTTGCAGCGGTGGCACCTCAGAGCATCTGCTGCTCAAGGCATCCACCGTGCCAGGTCTTTTCTCATTTCCTCCACCCACGCTGGTCTTGGAGATAGTGCCAGCCGGCAAGACAGCAGAGACCAGCCTGAACTGTGGCAGTGTTGCTATAAAATGTCTACACAAATATTTTCTCATTTAATCATCAAGCAACCCCGTGTGTGTGTGTGTGTGTGTGTGTGTGTGAGCTTGCAATTATTACATCTACATCATTCTCCAACTTTACATATGGGTAAACTGAGTCTCAGAGGAATCAAGCAAAGGTAAGAGACCAATGACTTAGTTTCTGGCCATAACCTCTGACTCTAGAGTGTGCCATGGTCACGTGGGGTATAGAAATCAGAGGTTGTGTCAGGGAACCCGTGTTGCCTTCTTCACTTTCTTTCTGCTTGGTTTTCTGTGGGAATCCACAGAAGTCTTAGACATCTTGTGGACCCATGGCTCAGTGAGCAAAGTCACTGGGGACTGGGCTGCGTGGCAGTTTTGCCAGTTGAGCCCAGACTCAAAGCAGCCTTAGGTAGTGCTGACTTCTGCAGGCACAGGACATTTCCTTCAGCAGTTTTGCTTGTGGCTCTGTAGCAGGCCAGGCTCTTTGCAGGGTGCTAGAGACCCACAGTCCCTCCTGCAGGGTCTGGGCCAGACTTCTATCAGTCCTCCATTCACAGGGGAAGAAGAAGGGATACGGACACGGGACTTCGAATCGTGTGGTCTACTTGACTTGATTAAGAGATGGTGAGTAGATTAGCGAAGGGCACTTCTGGGTGTGACTTGGGGACTGTGTCTGGTCCCTGGCCCTTCCTCTCTGGTGCTCTTTCCAGCCCGCTCTGCTCCTGACCACCGTGGACTAAGTTGCTTTGCTCCTCCACCTCCTTCCACCATGAAGTTCCTGCCTTGGAGTGGCTGACCATAGACTGAATCTCCTGAAATTGTGAGCCAGATTAACTTCTCCTTCTTTAAATTGTGGGCATTGGGGATTGTGCCCCAGTGATGGGAAGTTGGCAATACCAGACATTACTTTGCTTTAGGCCAAAGTGCTGGTTAGTTAGTACAGGCTGAATATCTCTTATCTGAAATGCTTGGACTAGAAGTGTTTTGGATTTCAGACTTTTTTGAACTTTTGAGTATTTGCATACACAAATGCGATTGTCTTGGGGGTTGGGCCCCTGTCTAGCCACAATTCATTTACGTTTCATCTTAGACACATGGCCTAAAGCTAACTTTACAGACTATCTGAAATAATTTTGTACGTGAAAAATCTGTGGCACTTTCTTCCTATGACATCATGTCATAGAAAGCTTTCAGATTTCAGGTTTTGGACTAGGGATGCTCAACTTGTAGCAGATTCACACTCTTCCCGCCTGCACATGGCCACTCAGTCTAGAAGGGAGGGGACAGCTAACGCGGCTCTGCCCCTGTGCAGGAAGACAAATGCCCTCCTTCCCAGAGGGCTGTGCCACAGCTCTGCCCCACCCCTGTCCCTGTGACGTGGTGGGTGGCGACCCCTGGGTGGTTCTTTGTGGGAAGAGTCCACAGTGTCCACGCTGCGCCTGGCAGGAGCTGGGCCGGGCCACCCTGCTGCCCCCTTGTGAGAAGTGGGGGTCACATCCCAGAACCTCCCCTTCATACTTGGATGGATCAGGTCCCGTCCCCCCACTACTTTGTGGGGGGATGAAGGAGCAGTGTAGGTTCTTTGAGGTGGTGCCTCAGAAGTCCAGGAAACAAGCAAATAGCAACGAACCCAAAGAAAACAAAAAGGCCAAACACGAGCCCACAGATGGGGGCCCATCCTAAAACACCGGCCGCGTTCTGCCTAAATCAAGACATCTGGTCACTCTGTTTCAGCAGGACAAAGAGCCTTTTTTTCCTAATCCAGGATTTTATGTCTTTAATCTTTTCCAGAAGAAAAAGAGTTCTCATTACGTCTGCATCTTATCACATAACTGTGTATCATAAAGATGCCGTTACCGCCTCTTCCTTCTGATTAACTGGCCCTGAGTGATTCGCGATGATGTTATTAGCTCAGCTCTGCAGACAATGGCACTAGTGTCACCCGCCACTGGGGAGGACAGACCCACGGGCATTGTTGAGCAGTCCTAGGGACCCTCCAAAGCTCTTTGGAATCCACAATGCCGGGTGCGTTCTCTGGCCTGGCCGTGGCTGGGGCCCCCTCTGAGCTGGCTTTGGCGTCCGCAGCTGGAGTCTCAGCCTCCTACAGACTCCACTCCAAAGTTCAGCCTCATCTGCTGACTCGGTTTCCTGAGCTGAAACAGCAGAAGGGGTTGGAGATGTTGCACCTGGGGCCAAAAGCAAACAGGTGTCCCTCTGCCTGGCAGCACCGGCTGGAAGGCAGCAAAGATGGCCACCGTCTGCAAATTCTGCCATGGAGTCGAGAGGGAAGTGCGGGTGTTGCAGGCAGCCACGATGGCTGTGATGGGATGAGGGTGACGAGTGGAGACGGTGTGAGCAGAGAGCCCTCACTGTCACTTTCGGCTGAGCACCCTCGGTGGCAGGACAGACACCTGGGAGCACAGATTGGCCAGTGCCTTTCACACCTGGCTCCTTGTTAGATGCACCTGGCCCAGGTGTTCCTCTCCCCCTGGGAGCCTGGTGTAACCATGGCAGCCAGGTGGGGCCTGGGCGTGGTGTGTGAACACAGTGTCAGCCGCAGCTGGCTGGCTCAGTCTCCCTTGACACCCAGGGCCCTGCCTGTGGCTCCTCAAGGGAAAGCCTGAGCCATGGTCTTCCTGCTGCATGGAGAGGAGTGAGGGGAACGGGCCGAGGATGGTCTCAGAGAAGGGAGAGAGCAGCTGGTGAGAGGCTGGAGCTGAGATGCCCACACCTGCCTGGGTAGGAGGCGACACTGCCCTGGGCAGGAGCCCTGGGTGCACCCCAGGGAGAGGCGCAGCAAGGCGGAGGGGCAGACTGGTGAGGGCACGGTGCAAGGCTGAAGGTGCGTGTCAGCCCAAGAGGGAGACACTGGTGCTTTACAGGGTCAGTGGGATCATATATATCGTACACCCACATGCACACACACGCTCATGCACACACACGCTCATGCACACACCCACGTGAGTGATCAAAACACGTGGCGGACACTTAAATCAAAGAAAACATCACAGTGAAAGACACATTGCCAACGATCCCCCTCATGATACCCTGCTCTTTGAACACACTCATCCCACCGTCCCTGCCACTTTCTGAAGCAGCTCTGGAGTCCTCTTTTGTTAGTATCTGTATGAGGTGTGATAAAGAATACAGAGAATGCTGCTGCTGAGCGCCATCCAACGGAAAGGCGGGTTCAGAACACTGACTCTGTGTTCTCTTCCACCTTAGTCACTGCATCTGGCACCGTGAGACTTCTGACTCTTCCCCAAAGTCAAAATGACCACAAAAAGGGAAACGTTTTGAATCCATTCAGGACACTGAGGAAGCCAGGACAGCGCAACTGAAGACCCCCAGGAGAGAGGACTCCAGAGCTGCCGCAGGAAGGGGTCAGGTCGATGGGGAGAGTGTGTGCGAAGCACGCGTGCAGGGAGAAGGCCCAGTCTCAACTCACTCCTAGTGGTGCCCACAGCCCAGCCAGTGGCCCAGACTCTCCATCTGGGGGCTGCCAGGTGCTCAGCCCTGCGCCCTTCTCGGCGGAGAAGAGCCAGCAAGCTGGCGCCAGGCAAATCGGATTCTGCTGCCTCTGTTTCATGGATGTGGCCAAAACCAGAATCACTGGCTCTGTGCTGCAGAACGTGCTGCGCCACACAGAAGGACTTTGGGATCTTTCTGTGCTTTCCTTCCCTAAGGTACTCTTCAGACACGGGCGTTCTCTTTACAGCTGGATGTAAGCAAAGCCGTTTTGGAGAGAAACTTGGAAGGTGTCACTCGGAGGTGTGTGCATGGGTTCATCACACTGAAAGCACACACAGACCGCCGGGCTCAGCAAGGACACCACCATCAGCTTGGGGGAAGTTCGGCGTCCCTCGTCCCTCACAGGCAAGCTCGGGCGACTGGTAGGTTTCTTGGGAGAGCAAGAAGAGTGTGAACAGAAGCAGGCCATGGAGGAGCCGTCCAGAAGCATCTGGAGCATACCCTGTGCATGCCCTTGGGCATTTGCGGTTCAGTGCCGGCCTTCCTGCCCTTGGGGAACTCTGAGGTGAGGTCCAGAAAGTGCGGGAAAAGCGTTTGGGCAGTGGAGGGAGATGGCACATCCCCATGCCCCAAGCCCTTGCTGGTCTCGGGGTCTCTCCTTGCCGGGAGCTCCCTGGGCTGGTGTGGATGTCTGGGACCAGCATCTGCACCGACAGGGCCTGGTGGCCTGGGTGTGCCAGTACGTGTGGCCGCTGGCAGGGCACGGTGTGGGCCCCCATGGCCAACCCCACAGACACGTGTGGCAGTGCTGGGCGCTGTGTTGGCCTGTCCCTGCGATGTCCTGCACATCTCAGACCCCGATGGCTCCGCCCCGGGAGCCTGTCCCCGGTCTCAGGTCTCAGGATAACACATGCTGGGCACTGAGGCAGAGCTCACTGGCCCAGTGTTGGAATCAGCAACCTCCGTGCAGAATCGGGGATTATGTGACTGACAGTGGCCGTGAGGTGAGAGCCAGCCAAGGCTGAGGGCCGAGCACAGTGCAGCGCACGGGTGCCTGCTGAATACACGGCAGGCACACAGCTTCAGGCCCGGCTACTGGCATAGCATCGGGGGGTGACGGGTGCAGGCTCCGGTTTGAGCAGCACCCACGACCACATCTCCTGTCGCCTTTCAGGGTTCACCCAATCGGGACCACAGAGCCCTGGCAGCTTCCTGGGGTCTGGAACCGGGTGTGGCTTCAGTAAGGCCGCGGGAACTTGGGACCAGGCTGAGTGGTGTGAGTCCCCACCCGTGACCGAGACAAGGTGGATGTCTGTTACCACCGTGTCCACTGTGAGGGGTGGCACAGAGCCCCTTACAGCGCAAATGTGTGCTTTATAACACAGATCTGAAGGAGGAGGAATCACTTTCCACGGTTCCTCAGCCTTGGCCAGTGTTGCTTTCTATCCCCTCCTTGTTGGAAACACAGCTCCCTCCCCCTCTAGTGGAATTTAAAAGCCCAGAGAAGAAGGGGCAGAAACTTAGCTGCAGGTGCTGCGAGGCCTGGAATCGCCTTGGATGCACCCGAGCTCACACCAGGGGGACACGGCCACCACCGCACAGCGAGGGTCTTCCCGGTGTGTCCTCTCGCCTCTGCTCAGCCACCAGGCTCCTGGAGGGCAGGCGGCAGTTAGATAATGATCATTAGGAGAGAAGGAGGAGGAGGCTCTGGGCCTGCTAGCTGCTGTCCTTCCTGGAAAATAGCCTGGAGCTGTGGTTTGAAATCTGAGATGCTCTTTCAGGATTAGTTGTTTCCAAAAACCACATCACATGGAAAACCCAGAGCCACAGAAACTGGGCCAGGCCAGAGCTGGACACACTGTGGTGACCTGACCTGGTCAGGTGGCTCGGGCAGGGCTGAGTCTCACCTGAGCATCCTCCAGGAGCCGGGGGTGCAGATGCCGGAGAGAGGTCTCAGCTGGCCTGGCACAGGCAGGCCCTCACGCTGAGTGAGGGGTACCTCAGGGACTGCCTTCCTCGAGGCCTTTCCTATCTCCCGTGGGATCCTCAGTTTTCTGTTACCTGACTTCGTTCAGTGTTTATCGGGACACACATTCTGGGCAACTGGCATCCCATCCAGTTCCCCAGGGCTCAGCTCCCTGCTGGGCTCCAGGGGCTCTCGGGTGTGAATGGTCAGGGTGCGAGGCCTGCAGACAGGCCATCTGGGAGCTCCTGCTGGCAGCATGCTCAGCACAGAGCCCTGGGGTGGCGTCAGGTCTCGCTGTGCCTGATAGAGGCAGGGGCCCTGGGGCTGTTACCCACCAACCTGGTAGGGTTGCTCTTAGCTCCAGCCGCTATAACAAAGGCACCATGGGATGGGGGTGGCTTTCAAACAATAGAAACACTTTTTCCACAGCTCTGGAGGCTGAGAAACCCAAGACCAAAGCACTGGCAGGTTTGGCTTCTGGTTCATAGGCAGCATGATCAAAATATACAGTGAATGTGGAGATTTAAAACAAACTTATTTACAGTAAAAGACACTGCTGTGAGTTCCCCTTGAAGTCCTCCCCCTCCCTTTGAACACATCTATCCCTTTGTGCTTCCCACTTTCTGAAGGAGCTCTGGAGTCCTCTTTCACGAATGTCTTTACAAAGTATGATTAAAAAAGTACGGTGAATGCTGCTGCTGAGTGCCATCCAGTGGAAAGGCAGGCTTGTAAAAAGATGCTGCTGCGTCCTCATCCTCCTTATTCACCACGTCTAGTGTAGCGAGACTTCCCGCTCTTCCCCAAAGTCAAATGATCACGAAAGGGAAACATTTTGAATCCATTCAGGACATCGAGGCAGCCAGGACAGCACAGCTGAAGACCCTCAGGAAAGAGGACTCCAGAGCTGCTGTAGGAAGGGGCCCGGATGCCGGGAGGAGTGTGTGTGAAGGGAGGGGGTCCATGCTAATGTCTTTCCCTGCAGTCGATTTTCTTTGATTTCAGCATTCCCTGAGTTTCTGATCACCCTCTGTAGCTAGCTGTGTGCTCCTGTGGTGGAGGTGTAAGGCAGCCCTCCGGGCTCACTAGTGCTGACCTGCGCGCGGTCCCTTTTCACCACCTGGTCCGTCAGATTGCTGCGACATTTTGCTTGCAGCCTCCCAAACTCTGGCCACCTTGAGGAGAAGCAAACAGTGTAACCAACAGTGCTTCCTGTTGGGAGCCTACCTGCTCCGCCCAGAGGGAAGGCGTTCACCAGTCCCTGCTCAGTTCTTGGCTCTCCGCCTGCGGTGGCTCTGTGCCCGGGTAGGGGGTGTATTGTCCAGACGCTTGAACCAGGAGAAGAGCGGACACGGGTGAGATGGCTGGGCTGTGGGGGTGCTCTGATGCCTGGTGGGGGCTGGGGCGGCCATGCTGGGAGGCGGTGCTGAGAGAGAGGAAGGCCAGGGTCTGGAAGTGCTTTAGCTGAGATCTCACATGAGACCCCTTTCTCACGTGCCCAAAGATTGCTGGAATGATTTAAGTGGCCCTTGCTGGGCGCCACTGTCAGCTGAAGCCACATGGGCCACCCGATACCTAGACCAATGTTTGCATGATGACCCCTCCAGCCTGGCTGATTGTGTGAAGCACATGCCACCGAGTCTGCTGTCTTAACCTCTTTTACCGTGCCACTGAGCACGTCACACTGCTGCACAGTCCTCACTGGAGTCCGTCTCCAGAGCGGTTCCCTCTTCTCCAGCGGACACTTGCACCCGCTGCACACAGACGCCTTCTCCCTGTCCCCAGAAGCCCCCCCACTCCACTCACTTTCTGTCACAGAGTTTGACTGCTCTGGGTCCCTCGAGAAGTGTGTATTTTCTCGATGGCGTGTCACCTCTGCACCCCGTCCCTGTGGTAATGTAGGTCAGAGCCCTTCCTGGCCCTGCTGAGTGCTGGCCACTGCCTGGGAAGTGGACAGCACCTCGTGTCCATGTCTTCATGCCCCGAGGGACATTTGGGGAGCTTCCACCTGACTGCCTGAGATCCTGCTGCTGGGACGGAGGTGAGACTGTCCACCCATGTCCCTGCTTCCGGTTCTGCAGTGTCTCCAGGTGGCCTGGCTGACCCTCCGATGGCGCTGTGTCAGCTTTCGAGGAACCGCCTTGCTGCTTTCCACAGCGGCTGCCGTGGCCCTCTTGGCCCAGAGAGCCACGCCTGCTGACAGGGCTCCTGTGTCCCCGCTCCCTTGCTGCTGGCCGCCGTTGGCTGAGCTCTGTGATGGCAGCCTTGCGGCGGCGAGGTGGCCCGGCGGAGCCCTGTGGTCTCGGGCTGGAGGGAGCCAGCTATCGGCCTGCTGTGTGGGGGAGCCCAGCTCTTCCTCAGCCCTGGCTCTGCAGGGCAGCCCTCTGCACTCGCCCACCTCCGTTTCTGGATCCCCTGGGGTCCCTACTTCCTCAGGGGACCCCTGGGTCTTCTGCAGAGAGGGCACTTCTGAGCTCCCTGCAGAGCCAGCTGCCCTCACCCACCTTGGGCCACGGGGACCTGCTCTCTGCTGGGCCTCAGCTCCAACAGCAGCCTGTACACAGAGGGCCTCCCTGCGCGCAAATGCGGGAACAGTGGTGCCACGCCAGAGACACAGACTGCGTTAGTGCTGTCCTCAGATACTGGCTCAGGAGCCTGAGTTCTGTTAGCTTTCCATGGCTTCTGCTGGGTTTTCTGGTCCGTAATCTTATCGCCTACAAAGAGTGGTGATTTTGCTTTGCCTCTCCCTTCTTCCTCTGTTTATATGTTCCAGCATGATTTTCTTCCATGATAGTGGCAGCGGTGTCTTTATCTTATTCCTGATCTTCTAGCGCAGTTCCTAGAATTCTGCCTTTGAGGGAGAATTAATGTCCTGATCTGAGGGAGGCATCTTATCCTGCCAGCCAAGGACTCTGTGCTGCTATTTTGCTGGGGATTTCCTCAGTCAAGTGGAGATGGAGGGTCAATGCTCTTCCACGTCCATTGAGTGTTCAGCAGGCAGTTTCTCTTTGACGTCTTCGCCTAGTGAATTCTGCTAGTGCATTCCTGAAATCACACCATCCGCGTGAAGAGCAGAGTGCGCCTGAGATTCGGGGTGTGCCAGGCCACATCCCCACAGGAGGACAGCTGGAAATGGGCCAGCTGTGGCCGCCAGCTTCCCAGGGTTAGGACGGCTCAGGATGTTCATCGTTTCTGAATTAAACAAATGAAGACTGTGACTCAGCTAGAGGCAGCATAATAAGAACTGAGGTGGATCTATATTTAGCAAGGCAGAGACACATGGGGAAGATGGAGACTTCCTCGTTCCCAAGCGGGAGGGTTTCTTTGAAGTTCAGAGCTCTGGTTCTCGTTGCTGTCTTTGCCTCCCTCGCCCCAGCCCCAGATGTTTCCCTGAAGATGGCTGAGGCCCCCAGGATGGTGTCAAGGTTGGTGGGAAGCAAAGTGCTGCCATGTGCATCCCTGGGCTCCCCGTCCCTGCAAGGACAGCCGTATGGTACCAGCTTCCTCCTTCCCCAATGGGTGGTTTGTTCCCCTGCTGCATATACCACCCAGTATGACTTTGAGGAGCACAGTAGTCCTCTCTTAGCAATCAGGGGTGTTTTCCAAGACCCTAAGAGGTTACCTGAAACCCAGATAGTATCACCCTACACACAAAGACTGTAGGTTCTATTTGGTGTCTTCATTGTACCTGAAGATTTTATTCTGTAGGGAACAGGGAAAGGGGACGTTATCAGAACCTCTGCAGTAAGTCCTAGACTCCTGTGAGCCACAGCAGTACACGGCGAATTACAGGAAAGTTTACAGGAAATTACAGAATTACAGGAAAGACTGAGAAGAAGCTGAGCTTTGGGTCTGATCAGTGCTGCTCTGGGCCGCAAAGACGAAAGCCCCCAGCTTACTGCACCTTTTATTCAGTCCATCGGGAGAAACAGATGTAACAAATGACTCGCAGAGAGTTCAGTGCATCCGCGTAAATAAGATGTAACAGTCCAAGAACAAGGAGGAACGGAGTAGATGTTTGCTCCTCCCAGGATGTTCTCAGCTCCCAGGATGTTTCTTGTCCTGGAGAATCACAGCATCACCGGATCACTGAGGTCCCAGCTGTGACCGGAGGCCAAAATGGAGTTATGTCTCGGAATTCCATAGCTGGGCTGTAGGCAGGAGAACTAGGCTAACCAAATGATTTTTTCCTAAAATTATGTAGCACTACTCCTGACATTATTCTTTTGTTTTTTGTTGGTTTTTTTTGGTACTGGGGATTGAACTTGGGACCTTGCGCTTGCAAGGCAGGCGGTGGAACCACTGAGCTAAATCCCTGGCCCCAATTCTTTTGTTTTTTGAGACAGGGTTTCTCTATGCACTTCAAGCTGGCCTTGAACTCTCTGTGTAGCCCAGACTAGCCTCAAACTTTCTGCAATCCTCCTGCCTCAGCCTCCCAAGTGCTGGCATGACAGGCATGAGTCACCACACCTAGGTCAAAGACTTAGTTCTGAAAGGTTCCTGTCTCCTGAATCAGCAAGATCTAACAGCAGCTTCTTCATCAGCAAATACAACTTCTCCAGGAATTTTATGTTTCCCAGTCTAAACCTGCTACCTGAGAAGGCAGCGTATGTAGCACGGATTTGCTGGGCAGAGGGACGATTCCCAGCCCAGCTGGACAGAGCAGGACAGCCCAAGATTTTACCCTTTTACTAAGAACAGTGCACAATTTACACCTTAAGGGACTTTTTGGGCTGGGGTGCTGTTCAGTGTGGGCACCTGCCTAGCATGCATGAGGTCCTGGGTGTCATCCCTGGAACCAAAAAGCACAGACACAAACAGAAACAAACCCAAATTCCCCAAAAGTATGAATTTGTGAATTGCTTCTGGAATTTTTCCATTTAATATTTTTGGACCACATTTGACCATGGGCAACTGAGACCTTGAAAAACAAATCCATAGATAAAGGGAGATGGCTGTGGATTTTTAAACGTGGTGTTGATGTTAACACATTAAATGCCCACCGCCAAAGCAAGCCCTGGAGAGCATGTCACTGAGAAACAAGGTCTGGGTTTTGCTTCTCCGTGGGTTCTAATTTGCTGTAATTCTTTTGGCAGGGAGATGAGGTGGGAGAGATTGCATAGATTCTCTTAGTTGAGAGAAGACAGTGAACACGGAAGCCAGGACCACTCAGTACTGCTGCCCGCTGCAGACACAGTGCTCGGCTTCCGGTGTTGTACAAAGCGTGTCACCCTCCTGCCAGGTGGGTCCCCCTGGTCTTGGCAAGGCTGCTGTGACGATGCCCGTAGCCTGTGTTCTGCACAGGAAGAGGCAGACCCAGGTTTCTGGGTCACTGGTCTCTGCTGTTCTGCTTTGTCTGTCCTTGCACCAGGGTGGTCTGTCCCTTGGGGCAGCTGTTAGCTTGCTGGGGGCTTCTCAGGGGAAAAGACCGGGAGGGGTGGCTTTGTTCAGTGACGACAGCGGGAGAAGCACAGGAGTGTCAGGGCTCCGGTCCCTTGGGCAGAGAAAGCCAGGCTGATCTGGGGTCCAGAGTAAGCAGGAAGTGTACTGGGTGGGTGGGCACCTTCTCCGAGGAGCAAGGGAGCCAGCCCTGGGTGCGCATCCTAAGCAGCGCCAGACTCCAAGCAAGGCCACTTCTAGGCAAAGAGGCTTTGCCGGAGAAGAGACAACACACCTTTCCGACCATCGTGTGGATGTGGGGTTCTGTGTGTCCCCTCTTCCTCTGAAAGAGTATTTTGTTGATTCTGAAGAGGAAGGAGAAACTTGTTAGATGTGTGCTGCTTGTCCGTGAATGACGCCTTCCTCAGATCCAAAGCATCATGGCTCTGCTCTTTCCTCCTCCTGCCCTGCAGGAGGCTGAAGACCTGTGTCCACCCTGCAGTCACCACCAGGGAGGGCCTCCACCTGTGACCTTGCTCGGGGCTGGGCCCAGCGAGGGCTGAGTGCCTGCCCAGTGGGTGAGGCCCCTGGTTCCTGTCTAGCACTGGGGAGAAAAGGGGCTGAGGGCTGTTTTTGTCCCCAAACCTCTGGAAAAATTCAGTGACATGGAGGGAAGGACAAAGAATCCGCAAAACTCCTCCTGTCCGTCCCTTTGTTTTTATCCCCGGAGTCAGTGGAAAAACCAACCCTTCCCGAGGTGGCCGCCCTGCAGCAGCAGGCACGCCCT